GCAGAAGCGCGTACGATGTCAACCCATTTCAAGGAGAAGTTCTCTCATGTAGGAGGGTTCTCTTCTGGAAAATGATGCCTCTGATCATGTAATAAGACGGATCTTGGATTTGCGAGGGGCATCAAAGTAGTTTCTGCTTTCTCACTTAATCAAAAGATATTTATCTCCTTGATTTGGTGATTATGCTGGAGCACTCTAATAATTCTCCTGGGTTTAATGAACATAGCTTTTATCCTAAAAATTCAGTCAAACCAAGAATACCAATGGCTGCCACCAGACAAAAAGATATCGGGTTCCCTTAATTTGAGTGGTCGAATCACGAGGTTTTCTGTAAGTAATATCGTACGTTCTCTGCAGCAAATTGCCATCGTCCAGCGTTGACCGGGAGTGCAGATGACTTACCCAATGCCTTTACCCACAGTTGGCCGGGACCCAAAACACGTTTGATGTATGAAGCCAACTCGTCAATCAGACTTTCTGACCGGGAGTGCAGATGACTTACCCAATGCGACTTAAACACCATACCTTACCCACAGTTGGCCGGGACCCCAAACATTTTTGATGTATGCAGCCAACTCCTCAATCGGACCTTCATAAATTGCTGTTTATGCTCTTGGGTTAGGACAGCCCTCAAAGCAAAGTAGTTCAAAATATCTAGTGGTGGACTCACGCATGGCTCCCCAAGTGGAGCCGCGATTTTGCCTCCTTGCAGATCAGATCAGACTGAAGAAGGGTTGCCGGAACGAAATCCTACCACCATTGCCTTGTGAGTCACAGTTTCGAGTCGGCTGGCCATATTTGCTTGCGCACTGTACACACAGAAGCGGGTTCCTGTTATTTTACGTTTCCCCAATCAAACCAAATCTGAGACTATGAGAAGTCTGTGTGCAAAAAAGAAAACTTTCAACCGTAAGCCCACTCAGTCCTACTTGGTCTTTCTGAGTCAGCAGTCAATGGACAGAAGTCAAATCTACAATACTACATATGACCAACCAAGCTACAAAACCAGTCAAATAAAGGGGAAATTTCTCTCTCACTGTCTTCAGCCATTCATGCGAAACACACATTTACAGGTTTGTCTATGGCAAATGCTGTCTGGATAAACACGTAAAGGGATAGTCGGAGGTAGAGCCAAAGTAGCCAGATGTGAGTCAACTATTCTTGCGCATAGAACCGAGTGTCTCAGTTTACTCAGCATTGTCTCGTTGAATACCTAGCGCCCGGGATGTCTGACTGTGCGACAGAAGAGTGGCTGATTGCCTGGGGTCAACAGAATGACCTGGGACCAGCAGATGAAGGGTTCCAGGTTGTGAACTGACCACTATCTGGCTATTGTCTCATAGAACGCATCGGATATTTTGGAATGCATTCTGCCTTTCTTTGCGAGAAAAAGCAGTGTGTTCTACCGAAGTAGGTGTCATCGCAAATGCTGGTGAACTGATGAAGGACAGACTAGGATGGTTCCATCGAGGTTGGCCATTACGAAGTCGCAGGACCAACTTGGAGTGACTTAGTTGCGCTGCCGGAAAAGTGGCCAAGAGAGACTGTTTGCAAATATGTAATCTCCCCTGCTTGAGCACCTTCCCATGGGACCTTTTCCTTTCGACATTAGCAACCAGGTCTTATTTAGCTTTGTGCAGTTTTTCTGCTCGGAAAAAGTTACAGCTGGCCATTCTCTGGTAGAGTTCATTTCAGGAAAAATTCTTTCTGCAGTCCACCGGGGATAGAAACTTCGTCCGCCTTATAGAATAGTGTCTTGACCAAGCCGCGTTTTTGCCAGTGGTGCAAAGTTTGAAAAGAGGATATGCTAAGCATTCCAGATTGTTTCACGCATACATGCAATCTCAGAACAAACGTGGGAAAGGATCTTCCTAAAAGTGACAAACCGCAGACTCAGAACGATCTCATATCAATCAGTCGCATATGACGGTCCCATATAGATAGTTGACAATCATTTGTAAGATGTACGGACCCGGATTATGACCTGGTTCTTGCGTATGTTGAAGCCCGTTTTTTGCGACCGTAAGGAACACCGACAACCAGTATCGTACTGTGAGATCGTGAGGCAGAATAGTATGCCAGTTAGAGGTATTCCTAAAGGAAACTACTTACAAGGTCGCTGAAAACTCTTCGACAGCCCACGACCGGTTTCGCCCTTCTTGTGGCTTAGCAGGTAGGCGCAGTCCACGAATTTCCGTCAACCTTATGTTCTACTTGAGCTATTCCTCTTCAAACCCGTGAGGATGCAGCCGTCAAACAGTGTATCGACGGTAGCTCTGTAGGACGCTGCCAAAAACAAAACAAATCGTCCAACCTAACGAAGACTGGTTTGAAATACGAGGATGTACGAATTTGGAGCAGTATGGACACCAATTTTTCAGAATGGACGAATGTAGATAACAAGGAAAAAATGATGGGGGCGGGGTTGCAGTTAGTTCATCCTGTTTTCAATGGTACAGGGCCTGTTCTGCGAAGTTGAACATCTTACTGGTAGGTTTCCAACTATATTGATTTTGCAGGTACACTCTAGCGAACTGCTATCTCAGGGTCTACGTGTTTCACAGCAATTCATACTCCAAATGAGATGATAGATCACAACTCTTAGATAAATTTACAAAACAGAGTAGAAAGGGTTCCGGTAGACCTTGAAGTGGGAAGTCCAGGTGCACCTGACACAGACGGAAAGACGAGGAGCGGACTCAAGCTACCGACCTCTCATGTTCCAGGCAGGCGCTTTGCCGACCGAACTACTGAGGGCCGTCACGCTTATGTACCCGAAATCCACACTAAATCGGAGGTCGGCGGTCTGTTTCCATCCTTGTTTTCACGACATGTGTACATGGACTTATCACTTTAAAACCATATTCTAAAAAACAAGTCTTACCACATGAAAGTGACTTTTTTCTGCGACTCCTAAGGATAAGACGTACAGAGTCAAACGTATTTTACTGCAAATAGTTAAAAGTTGATACGTTAGCGTCCTGACATAACGAAATGTTGATAATTTGTTGAACGTTTGTTTTTTGGAATCCATCTACCAAAATTTCTTACAAACATGCTGATATTTTTTCAGGAACATAACTATTACTCGTTAAATGTGCACTGGACATTCCTTCTCTTTACTTGTTCATCTCAGATTATTTACGGTAATTAGGTTAGCGTTGTCATGAAGGTACTGACGGAAGTTGACCAGAGGTTGTTTAGGAAGGACTTGACCTAAAGCTCAGTGAGATGAATCCAAAACCTATGAAAAGCCCAGTAGGGCTGAACTCTCTGAAAACCGGTCATCTGAGTTCTGTGACACTGTGGTCACTTTGCTCTGAGCAGTCCAGACAAGTCGAAGTTCCAAATCTCATTACTCTAGCCAAAATATGGAAAAGTCTGGAAGATGGTTTGTTTATATATGATTTTCCAAGAGGCTTTGAGGTCAATGCCTTCCAGATAGAATGGTGATTTTTTTCAAACCAGCTAGGTGTGATTAACTTGAATCTGGACAAGGCGAGCCACCACTTATTTTCCAATCAACCGGCTCACATCACATCACCGAATTTCTTTTCTATGAAGAATTTAAAACAGATAATGCAAAAATTTGTTGTACACTCAATGTATTTCATTTATTGGAATGCACACACCTTAAAGCTTGAACCAAACTGGTTGAATGAAACAGTAATCGGAACTTACTCAAGTTTAGGCAGTTCAGTCACGTCACAAGTGAATTATCAATGACTGGCCTATACACATTAGTGACGTGGTTGGAAAATTTGTGATCAAGCAGAAAAAAACAGATAGTCATCCACGGCGAACAGTACGTATGTATGCTGTGCAGTCCAATCTTACTGGATACCATAAAGCGTCACCCATTTGTTTATCTTTCCGCTCAGACGATTTGGTCACTTTGTTTGCTGGGTGCATTGTTGATCCCGGAAAATAAGTCCTTTTGATTGGTCCGGTCCAGCTGCAATGTGGTTGGCCAGTGAGGGCGTGCAAGAACAAAGTATCTTTAGCCCAGGTAAGAGTGCAGCAATAGATATGAGCCGAAAAGCGCTGTGTGAATGGCCTAAAATGAATCCAAGTCGAAAATGAGTGTGAACCTTTTCTGCTACGTAAACACGATCAATACTGGCGGACTTACACGAACACGCCGAAACCACCAATGTGGGTAACACGGTTGAACATCCCATACAGAATTGCCATTATTGACTTAAGTCTTGAAGTAAAAGAACGGAGCTGATTGAATTATGGTGATCAGTTCGTTATTTCTCAGCTATCATTGTTACTCCTGAGAACAAAAACCACAGGAGGGAACAACTACCGGAGAGCCTACATGCATCGGTCCCTTAGGGCACTGTGTCTAGGGGCAAAACTTTAGGTAGCCGGCGCGCTGAACACCTCTCCATTCTGCCAACTGGGTAGATCGAACTTCAGCCTGTTTGATCTGAGAGTTCAGCAACTCAATACTGAACCAGTTACCCTGTTTGGTATCAACGGGCTGGTCAATTTCGACAACGGACAACGTGAGCCACCGGTTCCATCCAGTTGACAAGGAGACTAGTGGGGCTCAGATATGAGGACTATGGTGAGTCCTGTTGATCAAAAGCTGGCTTGAAACCTCATTGTTGATTTCACGCCCGTGAAAACATGGCCATTCAATTGGCCTGCGCTGAATTGTTCCCACCTATTTACGATGATGGATGACCTGAGTCGACACGGGTGATACGCGCACCCCACTTAGCAAACGCAGATAAGCTTGATCAAGTGAAGGCTTCCGGCGTCCACATGTTTCAGTACGATTCGTGGTCACTATTGTGCCTGACTCAGGAGCTTGTGATACGTAAACCACACTGATGAGACAGTGGAACAATATTTTCCTGGTCGATCAGCTATGAGTGGCGAAACCAGATTACGTGTGCCTAACTAACAACCACGGCTGGATGAATGGTCATCCAGTGGCTGTGACCGAACCATCGGTCGATCATCTCCACATTTATCTGGCTCTAAAGCCTACACACCTGATTCAAACGAACCGTATCATTTGGGGGGGTCCCACTCTGATGGTTCGATATCTAATGCTGATCTTCTGGTCTTTATCCGAGGGTCGCAGTCTAGTATCATGACACAGGAGCAAATCCTGTCAATGCTGGACCTCCGCACACTTATGGAAATCTGTCTCTTGATGCCATCACCGACAAGCCGGTGTGTGCCGATCAACCGAAAGGAAGCTTTTCGAGAAAAGTTTGCCACCACGAGGACCTTACACTGCCAGAGACGAAAAGATTCAGCATCTGCTGTTGACGTTGAGGTCACGGAAAAAAATATGCAAGAAAACCTGCGGTCTATCTTCGGACGCTCCCTATCGCAAACCACGTAAATCGTCGGCCAAGTCACGCAATGCTGCCATCTGCTCGAAGCTTGATTGGGCCAATTATAGGAAAACAAGTTGGCTCTAAGATCTGCTCGGTGATTAGTTCGTCTCCATGTTTGAACAAACTCACGTCCAGAAAACACTCCAATTTCACTCTGGACGCTCTTGTTGGGGGTTCCAGCATCAGTAATTACCTAAGGAATGTCCACAACATTTGTGTCGCGTTCAGAGTACTCTAGTTCCGAAGGTACCAAATGAGACTTCACCAAACTGAATGAGATCAGTCTCACTGCCATCCATGTCTTGTTCAGTGGTTTCAAGGTGTTGGCTGATTGCTGAAGCCGTAAACTTCAGCCGCCTTTGCTGTAGTTTGCACTTCTGTATGGAGACATTTGTTTGAAACCTGAAATGCTGTTACACGCTTTGCTTTGTCACTGTTCAGCGGCTACTTTTAACCTCGGTTTGGGGTTAGTTTCACACTTTGAAAGCCTTCAAATTGGTTTCGATTGACATAATTTTCAGGTTTGTCGGGGCGTTTGGAACACTGATACCCATGGTTTGGTACATTGCACAGTCCTATGGGGATCCGGCAGTTCTTTGGAAGTTTGCGGCTGAAAAGGAATGAGGAGGAGAGACCCATCATTCTCAATATTTTCCATTATAGCAGTGGTTCTTAGAGTGTTGATGCCGCGACTGAGCTGCCAGTTCCATGACACTTTAGTAACAACAACTGATTCGGTGCAAATCGTTCGGATTGCGTTAAAGCGAGGCTTGAAGCTTTTTTGTTTTGCCAAGGAACAAATCATTCCTCTGGGTCTAACAGAAATTACTGGTTATGTTAGTCTCCTGTTTACAACCAAGATGAAATTGGTCTGAAACCACCAATAGCAGTTACTGAAACTTCTGCTGTTGCTCTGCCCAGTCCGTCGCAATACTTTTAGAAGGTCGGATAATTATATCAGACGGTTTGTTAGTGGCTGGCTACGTTCATCGGAGGACGCCCCAGTCAGCTATATTCATATCGGCAGATGTCGTGAGTGACCGGATATTTCAAACCTAAGTTCAACCATCCAGATAGAGTGGAAAGCGCATACGGAAATGCTGCTCTCAGTGCCTTACTTAGTACTACACAAGGTGATTGATATCCCTGAATTTGCTGGAATGCTTGTGTGAAATGAGAAGCCAAAGTAATGCGCTTATGATTATCCCTTCGATGTCATGTCAACGAGTGTAATTTTTGTTTTCGTCCATGAAATTGTGATCACTTCACAATGAGGTACCTGCTTCCCTTGGCCCCCCGAGGCTGTTGTACAACTGAGGTTTCCTAAGGTCAGCCAATGTCTGCTCAGAATTTCTGACTGTCTACTTACCTAGGGCATTTCCGCGCAGGGTTCGGCGTTGAGCCTTCTTTCTTGCCAATGGCTTTCATACTTAAACCTGCATGATAGACAGCTTATGCCTGGTTTGTGACCGATTTCTTGACTGTGTTTTCGCTTACGACGTCTCGAAGAGTGCTGAGCATTGTTTGTTCCGTCTTCAGTAGATGACTAAGCGTCTCGGCATGTTTCCACACCAAGCGCTATTATGTACCTCGGAAATTCATTTCGCCCGACTGAAATCCATTGAGCGCATGCGTTGAATGAGACGTTGGCATCCTTTTTAATGTTCTCCTGTATATCCTTCAACGTCCGTCGCTAGCCTTTGCATATTTGTGATCATGCTTTTCGAAAAGAAACGACAGAAGTTTACAGTAGCAATATGTAGCAACGAGTAATAGTTCAATCCCGAGATGTAATAAGCCTGAACGAGTTTATCTCGTATCACCCTCACACTGTCCGTCGGGCTATCAAACCTCACTGGATTCAGGCCCATATGAAATGATCTCGATTAACTCAATGTCATTTATCATGCGGAATCTCTGCTGCTACCGGTAGAAGTGCTGAATGCATACTTGTCTAGATTTTGCAGGTATTCCATGGGAAAACCTGGAATAGCCAATAAGATTTCTGCGAGAGGCCACCACAATCCAGTCCATCCATCCGAGCTTTTGAACGCCCACCCAACGTATTGCAAGCCGTGAAAGGAAGCATGGTCGTGTAGCCTTAGCGTATGTTTGGTTTTCTCGATTTCCGGTGACCCCGTTCAACCCAGGCAGATTTTCACTAATTTTGTAGTCGATTTTGATTTGTTACGCACATGACTCCTAGAAGAGGATACTCTGTCTTGAGACTGCGAAGTTACAGTAAGGCCGCTTAAATGACTCAAAGGATGTATGTAGTGGGCTAACCTCAACGTCCCCAGTTCCCACAGATCCAAGCAATGCCTATTCCGGGACAAGCTCACAGCACTTACCAGTAAATTGTGCACCCGTTGTAAGCAAAATAATGACGTATTTCATTACAATGAGTGATAACGCACGAATTCCCATTATTGGTCGCGGATAACTAAACTGGATTTTCTCACGGAGATATTGTTTAAAGAAAAGTGTTTGATCAGACAGCCATTTCTGGTTCATATATTTGGTTGGGGAAATTAAGAAAACCAGAAATATACCGCAGGCAAAAGGCAAAAACCCAAAGCAGTTGTTTAGTTGAGTCGTAAGCAACCATAAAATTAGCCATCGAACAAGTTATTAATTTGTGAATTCACTGAAGACGGTTCTGTTTTTTTTTGACAAAGTGGGATGGCCTGTGTACTAGGTTGCTGTTTATTGTTTGGCACTTTGTGTCCACAGAAAAATTGATCAAACCTAAATCTGTTGGAGAGGCTCGGTCTGCTTTATTTGACTGACTTCTTGAGGCGCATTGCTCATCAACTCATGGATGCAATTTAGAGCGCCCACGAAAACATACGGTGTGAAAGATTTAATCCCCGCCCATGGTGAGAGAGTTGTTTAGTGTTTGCCCTGGCCACAGTAAGGTTAATAGTTCTTCCCCCGCCTCATCCATAGCACAAATGGTAGCTGGTGGTAGATTGATCAGCTGTAGAGCCTACTTAGGTTTGCAAACGTTTCTCAGTTTCAACAGCCGTTTGAAAGATCTCTCCTTCAGGCAAGTGGAAGTTAACTTATGATCAAAGCTGGAACAAAATAAGATTTAAGACACTGTGACCCTTTTGTGAAAACACAGGCTTACCACGTAGTGGCTCTGATAGGGGGTTCTGAGTAACCACGCTCAAGGGTGTATGATGCAGAGCGAACGTGGCAGTTTTAAGCAAGAATATCACTAGTCTGGTAGCTGTCACCATTTTCTTTTTGTTATTGCGTGATGGTAGTTCACCCAAAGCTTGAAACGGAACGGGGTTGTCTGCTAAAAAGAGGCACATCGCTCACCCAAGGCTACATCTGACATCAAGAAACCGTTTTTTTGCTTCTGCTCGGGTCTGAATTCTCGCTTCAGGCATTTGATGGTTACCAGACCACGGAAAGATGAGGAGCATAACCAAACAGAAAAAGTGCTCCTTTTTACGTGGAACCTATTCAGGGTCCTACAGCACAAAGTTTTAAGCAGCAAGGCCCTCTGCGATCGACTACGCTTTTCCGTCAATCATTAAAACCTTCAAGATAAGTTGTATAGAGACGACAGAATATTGAACGAACTAGCTTTTGCGTCGTAACTGAACTTCAAGATCTTTTTCAGGTCCACACTTTATCCTGTATTCAGTGTTTTACGTATGCATTAGATTGGGAGACAACTCCGCATCAGTTTTATCTTTATCCACAGCCATCAGCGATTCAGCCTCGGGGACTCTCAGAGAAAGTTGAGGCTGTGATTTTCGGAGAAGTTTTGAAACCCCGCCAATGGACCACAGTTGGCTTTCGGATAAAATTCGCCTTGTAGTAGTTTATTTCGTACGAAATGACAGTTGATTTTGCAGCTTGAACTGGGGTTAGAACCCTGAGCCCCTTTACATGAATGTGGAACAGTTTGAGCTATTGATTGCACTTCAGTAGTGTGGATTATTTACACCTACAAGAGACATGGAACCGCTTCCAAAGATCAGATATCACCTCGAAACGACCAGTAAAAGCGAAGTTTTGGATCTCGGAGTACTTCCTAAACGGTCAATGCCAAATTGTGTCTGAAACGCAGTGCTTACGAGTCTATCATACATTCACAACGAAGTGAGAGTAAATGAGGTGCGTTCACTTGTTAAGTGGTAATCTTCCCATGCGCCAAACCATAGCATATTGATCTACCAGCATTCTTAGTCCCACCTCTTGGACAACTACAATTTCCTAATCCATCATCCCATACCAAACCAAGTACAATTTGACCCGAACGCCTGGAAAATTGTAAGGAGAACATTTCTCGTTCATATTCTTGGGTTTGTTCATATTCGGATTGAGTTGATAAGGGCTCGCGTGTTTCTCAGGCTGCTTGATGGTTGGTGCAGAAGCTACATTTACGCTAGCTTGTTAGAATAGATTTAAAGGCTAAAATCTGTCTTTGAAACGGACCAGCTGATTCATAGCACTATCAAGATGATTCTGTCCAGTAATTTTATGAGCCATCTCTTGCCAGTTACTTATTTTGGAAGGAGAACCACTGTGTGCTTCTCGATGTTCAGTGTTTGATTCCTGGAAAGGGGTTATTCCAGGAGGGTTTTCGTGCGTCAGCATCATGATCATTATCAACAACAACAACAACGCATTGCACAAGGTCGAGATGTGAAGCCGTTGACACTTTTTTGATTGTTTACTCTTTTGATGACTCACTGGATATCTCTGGCAGGTTTGAACAATAAACTATTTCTCATCAAAGAAACGGTTTGAAACATAACCGTGTATGCAAATTCAAATTGGAATCCTTAATTACACAAGCCGCAGTAAATAAGTCCTTGTAAATGTAACGGTTACAATTCAGAATACACTGGATTTACTCTTGCGTTTGCTGGTGGTTGAGGACAAGGCTGAGTCTCACACGAAGACACCTATAACTGTTCGAGTCAAATTTTGACCACAAAACCAAATAAAGATTGTTGCTGGTCGCTTGACGTAGAA